ACAGAAAAATAATTACCTGGCCATTTACTAATGAGTGTATCAAGAAGCTCAACATTGCATGATCGTATAGCATAATAAAACGCATTATGACGTGTTTCATCTTCATCATATGGTAATATAGTGTTTCTTCCAATAACAACAGACAGATTATTTAAAATTCTACTATCACTATTAAATAGGTACTCTAAAATTTTTACTTTATTATGTTTAGAGGCTAAGATAATTAAATTAGTGCTTCTAAGAGGGTGGCTGGCATTATCATAATAATTTCTCAAAGTTATTTGATCTTCTGCATCTGCATTACTTATATTGTCAATTAAATTGCTTAATTCTGTTAATCTATCAATATTATCTTCTGATACTACCTTTTCGAGTTCATTTAGAGCTTGTAGATAAAGTTTTTTATCTCGTTTTTTCATAGTTTTTGTATTCTGTTATAAATTCTTCTTTAGATTTAGAAATAAGTGATAAAAGTTTTGGCTGGTAAAAATCAGTTTATTATTTTTTGTGTGCGTCCCTCTTTCTATATATGTGAACCTCTCTAATAATAAGATGCAATTATTCTAGCAGTAGGATGACAAAATTTATTTAATATGGCAAGAATAAAGAAATATTTTCTTTCTATATGTCTAAATAAGCTAAAAACAATAAAAACTAATATAACAGGTTTTTTAGATAATGGGAGCGAAATGGAAAAAGGTCAACCATAGGCACAAAAGTAGATTTGCCAGTAATACTGTTGACTTGCAATATATACTGAAAGATGTAAATTTGTTTTATATTTTTTGGAATGAAAAATTTAAATTATTTAAATTTGTGTTTTTCTAAGCTAATGTTGTGACCGAATCACATTATAAATAATAATTACTGATTATAAATAATAAACACTCGTTATATGGTTGCTACTTGATTTCACCGCCAAGAAGGATTCCTCTGATTGATAATCTTTTCTTCTTTTGTTGCAGGTACCGACGTCACGGGAACCGAGTGGGTATACTCGCTCCACCAGGATCTAATCCCGAACGAGTATCAATTGTTCTAAATAATAGGTAAGTATTTTCCACAGTAGGTATAAGTTATTCCTCACAATAGAGAACTGTTATTAATTCACTTTCAGATATCAACGACACCCGCAATAGCAGTGCGATGCGAAAGAAGGAGAGGTTCGAACGACTTCTACTCTTATACACCGTATTCACTCAAAAAAGTATTGTGAATTATCTCTCTCTCGCTCGTACAGTCACGACACTCGCACGCGCACACTCAACCTTCGTATGACTCGCGTAATACTAATCGGAAGTACTTCACAATGTCGCGTATTAGCACAATATCGTTACAACCCCCCCCCCCTTAAATTAATTGATACCCATACAACATGAAATATTCCATGAATGTTCTATAAATATTCTTTAGAATATTCTTGAATTTTCTATGAATGATCTATAAATGTGCAAAGAACGTGTAATGTCCCGCTTTGAATGTCCTTAGAAATTTCTGTAAATATTCTCGAATAATCTACAAATGTTTTATAAATATTTCCTCATAATCCATAATTTTTTTATATATGCAAAATATATTTATAGAACATTTATAGATTATTTTAGGAACATTAAAAATGGGATATCGCATATTCTGTATACATTTAATATTCACCCGACATAAAAAAAATTATTTATTTCGAAATTTTATTACTATTTTTTAACTAAATTTGTTTTTTAAGATGCAGTCTATGATTATAAATATTTTCTCGTATTTGAAAAACACACTTACCTTGGTGGAATTCGAACTCGGGACCTCTGGATCATGAGCCAACTGCCTTACGTGGTAGACTACTTCTAAATTTGATGTAAGCGTTATATATAGTCTACATATGTCACAACCAGCGCAAATATATAATTTTTCAAAAATTATCTTAAGAAACAAATTCAGTTGAAAAAGAGTAATAAAATTTGAATTAAATATATGATATAATATTTCTCAATGTCGAGTGAATGCCAGAAACCAGTGTCGGCTCATTATAGAATTTTTTTATAAAATTATATATTTTTAATTATTTTTTTAAAAAGAAAATTGTAAATCTAATAATAATGATAAAGAATAAAAATTGGCTATTAAGCTTTGGCCCAATATTGGGCGGCACTTGCTTGCCAAGCCTCGGCTACCCAAATTCGGGTAATAGTTGGGCCAGGTTTGGGCATTAAACGTCGGCAAGCCGACACTCGTGCCAGTCTTAGGCCGTTTCTCGAGTATCGGCGTTTCCTACTTAGGTCGTTACGCTTCCCCTTCGTTAGCTCGCAAGGGTCTTGGATTTCTAAAAAGTTTTTATTAATGCTTTCCAGAATATTTATATAATGTTCCAAAATATTCTTTAAATATTCCTAGAAAAATTAGAATGTTTTCAATATTTTTTCTAAAATGTTTATAGATTATTTTAAAAATATTCTACTAATATGTAAAAAATATTCTATTAATATTCTAAATATTTTATGTTCATTGCAATGTTCACAGATTCTTATTGAAATATTCATAACAATTCTAGAAAAGTTTTTCAGAATATTCATAGCACATGCTATAAATTTTTAAGAATATTAACAAAATGTTCCGTAAATATTCCAAATATTCTATATTTGTCAAAATATTTATAGAACATTTTATGCATTTTTTAAATGTACTATATTTATTAGACATTTGTAGAATATTCTATGCATATTCCAAATGGACAAAATTTCATGGAATATTTATAGAACTTCTACAGAATATTTTGAATGACCCGTGGAATATTAAAATATTTATAGATTGTTTATAGCACATTTCTTGCATATATATTCCATGCTGTATGGGTATAAGTCAGTATAATAATGATTACACGTTGTGTAAAAAATCTCGCAACTCGGTACTAATTGTTTTTCCCGGTAAGTGAGCTTTATTTGTTCTCAATCACAATCTCTATCGCGTGTTCTTATAGTAACTCATACGTCACGCTCCTACAGATTAAGTGTCAGAACGTTAAAAGAAAAACGCCTTGCAATGTATCTGTTACGACGCGACGCGACGTTCTCCCGGCAATAGACCTATATTGAATTTAATTACAAAGTTAATTTGTTTTCTAATTAACATATTAAGACGTAATAGCGTCACTCGGGGCTGTTTCAGTGTTACGCGCTGTCGCAAGACACTGCCTCTATCGATAAGACTTACGTCCGCTTGCTGTGACTGTTTCCGGACAAACAACTTTTATTATTCAATTGCTTATTTACAATTACCTTTTTACCTTACGAATTCACATACGTAATACGTGTGCATGGTTGCTGGTAAAATGCCAGAATATTTTTATACGAACACACCTCTTATGACTCGTCCGACGTGTAGCAGCTGCGATTATTGTCCACGTATCTATCTTTAAGAATGCGATAACGATAAGAAATCCTAGATATAAACTTTTATAACTATCCTATCTTAAGAAAATATGATAACTTTTGAAAAATTATTTTCTCGACTTCACGATGTCATAATCAGCTACAACTGTCATCTGACGACAATAACAAAATTACTGCAGTTTATATATATATATATATAATGACACCAAGGCGACGTAGGGACAACATGTAGGAACAATTTAAAGCACATTCAGGTTGATAGGATAAACAGTATTGCGTGTAGCGAGAGATGGCGCAGCAATCGAACAAAGACAAATGCCTCTCGTTAGACAAGGACAGATATAGATATATAACATTGAAAACAGGATTAGAAATGTTGACATTACCGACGTCGAGGAAGTTCGGCCTTCGCTATATAGGATCTCCTTAATACCAAAATAATTTTATTGAAAATTTTATATCGATACAATGAGAAAAAAATTGTTAACTTGGCTAAATGCGTTCAACTAATTATTATTTTTTTAAATATTTAAGTATTTAAGTCAATTTGTGTTATGTTAGATTTAATATGTCGTATATAACATGAATACTTAAATATTTTAATTGACAACTGGTAATCATTTAAATGCATTTAATAAAGTTAACAACTTTTTTTTCTCTATGAAGATATACGGTACCTGTGTATATTTTATAAAAACGCAACGCAATACGTCTGTTATTGAGAGTACTTTTTCTGCTAGTACGCCCAAAGTGAGCGTTTGATCGTGAGAAATCTCCAATTATATCATTGACGGTCGTGATATAAAATGCCATATCATAAACAAAACGTATTATAAACAAACGTTCAACATCTGACCTGTACATGATTTTTTGGCATTACAAGTACCCAAAAAAAGTGGGTATAATATGTATCAGATGTAAAAATACATTATTAGATATTAAAAGATCTAAATAACATATAATTTAATATGATTGTATATAATTAGATCCGAAATTTGGCGCGATATAATCTCATCTTTAAATAATCATATTTGACTTGACCTTAGTTATTATATATATGACAACAGATCTAGTTGAATATGGTTATATATAACAACAAATCTGATTAAATATGATTATATATATATGTTTGAAAAGTATTACATCTAAACCCATTCAGGTTTACTAGAAAGCAATGAAGACTAGCTAGAGGGTGGGAGTATGGAAGGACGCAAGCATATAGAGTGTTTTCTACTGGGAAATCTACCCCGACAGCATAACACTATAAGATAACGAAAAAGATGTCTTTTTTAAATTATATTTTTGACAAAGCAAAAAGATGTGTGAAAAACACCTTTTGATCATATTGAAAAAGTCATTATAAAAAAGATAACTTTTCGTTATCTTTTTATCTTTTTTATGAAGTTTTTCAATAAAGACAAAAAGACGTGTTAAAAATATATTTGCGGCCAATCAAAAATAGTTATTATTTTACAATATTATTTTATATTAT